GGGGGGTGACGGGGTTGCCTCACCCCGTCACACCTACCCTTTGTTTCCTGTCTTTTAACCAGTTCTCAATCCATGAAAGGACCTTCCCTCTTATCCCATGGCAATGTAATTTACACAAGAGCCTTTGGTGAGGGACCTTGTCAGAGGCTTTCTGGAAATCTAAGTATACTATATCTACTGGATCCCCCTTGTCCGCATGTTTGTTAACCCCTTCAAAGAACTGCAATAGATTAGTAAGACATGATTTCCCTTTACAGAAACCATGTTGACTTTTGTCCAACAAATTATGTTCTTCTATGTGCCTGACAATTTTATTCTTTACTATTGTTTCGACTAATTTGCCCGGTACTGAAGTTAAACTTACCGGGCTGTAATTGGCAGGATCGCCTCTAGAGCCCTTTTTAAATATTGGTGTCACGTTAGCTACCTTCCAGTCATTAGGTATGGAAGCCAATTTAAAGGATAGGTTACAAACCACAGATAAGTCTCTCTCTTTCCTCATTAATTATAAGGTATGCATCATAGCCTGGCAAATAGTGGCTGAGCCAAACTGGCCACCTAAGATTTCAGTTCAGAGAGGAGGGGATTTATAAATAATCTTAGTATCTAGTTCACCTATTTTAAAGTTACAAATGTGTAAATGACATCCAAATGCCTTATCAGTTCAGTTACCTTCTTTTTTTAATTGAGGTCAGTGTATATTTTTGTATTGGGTATTGAAAGAAAGTATTCGACAGCCAACCATTAGGGGAAGTAAGGAAATATACTTCTTGATATGGACTTAGAAAGATTAATGTTTCTCCTGCTTATCCCGAAATAGCAGCTCTTTATTTTGGACAATAACTAAATTGGCTCCAGAGTCATAATTTTAAACATGTAACTCTATTTGATTTGAAGTTACTCCCACCTTTTTACAACAAATATTCTGAGAGAGGTGATATGTAATCAAACATTACTGTGCCAAAACCTAGGATTGCCAGGTGTCCGGTTATGAACCGGACAGTCCGGTATTTTCTAATTAGGTAAGTTTTATTATTATTATTAGGAGTATCAGTATGAAGTTGCAAACTGCCTGTCTGGTATACATGCTCACGCTGATGAGCTTGTCTACCAGCCAGGCAATGCAACTACGCGAGGCGGGGCGGGGTCAGGCCAGGAGGGAATCCCCAGGGCCAGACTCGCTCATGCTTCGCCAGGACTGTGCGCAGGATGGGCAACGCCCTGGGATCTGTGTGCGCCCGAGTCAGTCCCACTCCCCACTGGCCGATTCTCTCCCTCTGCTCCCCTCC